GCAGTACGACGCTGGCCATGAGGTTGCGCAATACAGCACGAACCCTGCACAATGAGGTTGCGCTATGCGGCTTCGATGCTGCGCGTGCGCGCCCGGCAGCCTGACATAGCGCGTACTGCGTTCACAGACCATATTGCTCGACACCAACGAGCATCGATGCAACACAGCCTCTCTGCAAAGCCCTGTGGAGAAACCTCTCGCTTCGCGGAGCACCATTCGACTCAGCCTTATACCCTCGCGTGGCGACATCTTACCGCATCGTCGTGGAGCACCACTACACAGCTATTTGCTATTATGCACCCTTCCCATCAGCCACCCACCATAGCGTGACGTCCATCCCTGGCAGTACCGGCGGCTGCGACGCAACGCGTGCAGGCCTGTAATCCTGACGCAGTGCGTGTAGCTGTGGGACCATAGCTGGTTAACATGCGAACGTTTACGCATTGCGACTTTTACGCGGGCCTGTTTTCACACACCTTTACACAAACGAGCGTCGACGCAACGCAGCCTCTTTGCAGAGCCGGGTGGCGCAATCTGATCGCAACGGTGTTCCTCTTGAGCCTTCTTGTGCTCTTTGGCTTTGTTGGTTTCATCCATGACTGACCAAGGGGAACGTCACCAGAAAAGGTCCCGACAGCTACCCGGTCCGTCTCTACCTTTCGTGTTTCCCCGCTCAAGTGGATATGATTGGCACCCCTCCCTCCACCACCATGTTCCCCAAGCTTGTTGGAGGTCATTTGTCCTTTTGGCCGTTTTTGGAAAGGAGTTGTTGGCGTGTTCAGCAGTTGAACAGATGCGCTGCTAAGCATAACTTCAGGCATTTTCTCTACCGTTCAGGACAGAAGTGAGCAGGCGACCACCAAGCTCTAAACGATCTCCAGCAAGAAGGCCAAAGGCTGCAGAGGATTTGAGGGGCTTGGAACGCTCGAAACCTGACCCCAAGAAGGGGCGCAAGGAGCCGGTCAGATCTAACGGGCGCGGCCGGTATCGCTCACCCTCTCGCCAAGCTGCGTCGGACTCCAGGGACTCCCGGCGTCGCCCACGTCAAGGGCGAAGAGACGAGTCGCGGGAACCACGTCGCAGCCCTCGACGGGGACGACGGAGGCGAGATTCGCGAGACTCGAGGTCCAAGTCACGTGCGGGCGATGCGGATAAGGAAAGCCGACGGTGTTCACGTGAGTGGAATCGTCTTTATGCCAGTGGTGTTGCTGACCAAGAGCCACCCAAAGAAGAGAGCAAGAAGAGGAAGGCTGCTAAGCCTGACACAAAGAAGACAGAGGGCAAAAAGGCCAAGCAAGCAGCTCAAGACAACGGTGAGCCTCCAAAGAAGGCCAAGCGAAAGAAGCAAGCGTCTGACGCTAGTGGCTAAGAGCATGCAATGACGCAGAGTCAAAAATGCAACGTTGTGCAACTTGCTATGTACTGCTTGTCATGACTGTGATGTGTATAGTACTGAACGCTGTTCCAATTGGTGCTTGGACTGATTGAACGCTTGTTGCAAAATGCGCCTGAATTGTACAACGGCAAATTTGATCAAATTTGTGCGTTTTCTGACGATTTGGCTCTATTCTGTAATTGTTGTCCGATGTTGTACGGAGGAAGATTTCATACCTCATCAACATGTTTTTGACTGCATGAGTTCAGTTTTACTTCGGAAACAGAGTGTGCCTTCCCGGAGTTCCCGACTGTGACATCGGTCGAAAGCATCATTGACAAAACACTCAATCAGCATCCCCTTCCGTAAAGTTGGCACAGCCACACCATGGTAGCCAACCGCTGTTGACACTATCACTCTCCTGGGCTGAATTGGCGATGGTTCGCTCAAATTTCATCCAAATTCTACTGAACTCAAAGGGCAGAGAAGCAACTCAGCCTTCATAGCCGCATGGAGTTGAATACATTGCATTAGGAACCTTGCTTGGAGATTGTGGGAACAACTTGGCGTGTGCATGTGACAATTTGCGCCGTCATGCACTGTATGCTCATGGATGCAAGCTGGCATGGACGGAGAGGATAGTTCCTGCCACGAGAAGTTCTATGAAGCACCTTGGAAGCACACCTTTCAGAAGACGATCCACCCTGTTTTTGAAGTAGCAGTGCAGTCAACTCACAAAGAATTGTACTGGGGCACATGGGGCCCTTTTCAATTTGCGTTGGACAGTCATTGACAGTCATTGACTCCCTAAATTGTGTTGTTCTGCCAGGCAAGCATCAGCGGTTATGAGGATGCAGGTGCCCTGATTCTGTTCATGAGCTGTTTGAACACATTCTGGAAACTGGAAAGAGAAAAGGGGTGTTCTAGAACTTTCTCGTCCCTCGACCCTCAATCTTTTGAGAGAAACAATGTTTTTTGCCGCCCTGGGTCTTTGGACGACAACAACTTAAAACCATCATTTCTCATTGCTCAGATTGCTCAGTGCAGGGGCAGGATATGGCATTTCATGGCATTTGACCGAGAGTCCTCAGCCTTAACATGCCTCAACCTTTTCAACAAGACACAAACATGGATCAACAGTTCTCTGCATTGCCCTGCTTCCTCCTATGTTGAACAAGTGCTGTCAGCTGTGGAAAACACCATGAATACCTCAGGCTCAAAGAACAAGAAGTACAAACAAAAAAAAGGTTTGTAATTGTATATCGTATTTTTTAGACATGTCCAGTTTACATTACATTCGACTTGGGATATTCGACTTAGGCGAAGCATACCCTCTGAAAATGCTACTACTTTAGTCTTCACACCGCGCGAAGCATACCCCCGAAGCATAGTCCCATAGTCAAACATCCGGGCCCGGGAACGTTAACAAATACACTGATATGGTTCCATAAAACAATTCACTTGAATCAGTTCGAGGGTACCTGTCGACGGCACCCTTTTGAACTTTATTTTGTTTGTGGGATATGGTTTGATACAAGTTTAAATATCTAATTTTGGTCGGGGTCAGCTGGGTCTTAAAATGGACAAGCAGCAGGTAGAAGCAGGAAGCAAGCAACGCTACTGTAAATCATGCAAAATCAATAGTTCAGTGCGGAATTCTAAGGAGGGGGGCATACTATTTACTATTTGGAAAGGATGGAAGGGGACATTGGACAGAGGAAGAGCATTTCAGTTTTTCCAGTGGTCACTTGGGTAGAGTTCAACTTTTTAATTCACAGAAACTTTTGGATAGTCCATCCACAAAGTGTTTTCCATGGTCCAAACGAATGGCACACAATGCCTTGAGAGAATTTATATACTTTCCCATTTGTCGTGATCTAACGTGAAGGAAGACAACACCCAAGACATTTGCAAGCTGAGCGCCGAAACAAGATGCCAGGTGGACACATTGAATATTCTATCAGTTTGTCCCATTGCAGTGGTGTCTCCTGGAGCCTTTGGCGAAGGTTTTCGGAGTTCTTGCAGCTGCATGAGGAGATGCTATTGGGAAGTTTTGGGTGGGATACGGTGTCTTAGTTTGCCGCAGAGATGTGATGGGCCTTTGTTCATAGTTCTGACCCGCCGGTTCCTTCACGTTGTGGCTTTGGGAAAGCCGAAGCAGTTAGGTGAGCATGATAGCATGTGCAAGATTAGTCAGTGATGGCCAACAGCCCGACATAAACCTGAAGCCCCCTCCACCCGTTGCATGCTTCACCTTTGCTGGGCCTTCGCAGTGGCCCTCCCCGTGCAACGTTTGGAGGATCTCCTCCTCCGTTGCACGGCAGACGAAAACCAACTCCCCGAGGGACCTGAGACACTTGGCTTGGTTAAGCAAGGACGCTACTAGTAGCAAGGTGCATTGCTAGCAGCAAGGACACTACTAGCATTACTAGTAGTAGCAAGAAGCTACTAGTAACAAGGTGCATCGCTACTAGGAACAAGTGACAAGTGCATTGCTATTAGTAGCTATAATTTGCTACTAGTAGCTCCTTGCAAAGGCGAATCGTTGAACTGATCGACTTTAGGGGACGATTTCCGAAGGATGCAGTGACCGTTGCCAAAGTCAATTCCGCGATCCTTCGCAAAAAGCAATGCATGCATAGTATACAATAACATGTGTATAAGTTATGTCATTAACATCGTATAACGCATGTTGAAATCAGCTTGGAAAGGCAACATTGTTTTGGGTCCACTGTAATCTCTCCTGGAGTGCATGACTTGTTGAATTCTGCTTGCTCCCTTTGTTTTTTTGACTATTGCTTGACTTGAAAGCGTGGGCGTACGTGTCACCGTCACTCCATCCTGTGAGGAAGTCGTGGATGCCTCCATTCTCCCAGTCTTTGTTGGTGGAGTTCTGCAAACAGCGAGAGGTTGAACTTGGTGGCTACTTGAAGTGCCTTGGTCTTGCTGTTTGTTTGGGAACTTGTTCCCAGGCGAGGGCTTTGCTTTGATGCGAGACTGCACCATGAAAAAGCGGAACCTCCAATATGCATGTCTGGGGGCGGCTTGTGTTTGATCATATCTGACTAGCAATTACAAGAACACGTGTTGCAGTGTTGCATGATATGTTTAATACATGCCGATGTGTAAGACCCAGGCTCCAATGTCGGCTGGCCGCGTTTAGCTGTAGATTCTGTAGATAGCCCTTTCATATTTGGACTTTTGGAGCGCAAAGAGGCGGCCGAACTCGACAAAGAATTAATTGGATACCTGATGTAGAGGAACTACTAACTACTGCATCCTGTATCCCTTTTGAACTTGCAGCACGAACATGCTGCATTTTGGAGCTTAACTCGTTGCTGGGACGATGCAGCTCCTAAGCGCAGGAAAGCTATCATCAACACGGGTGCAACTAACATGGTCTTTGAAAGGTGGGGTGTAGGGCACGGGATGAGCTTTTCCAGTCCTGGGTTGTATCTTTCTTCCTTTCTTTAAGCCTTTTTTGCGCCACAACGCAGCATGGACTCACTGAAGTCTTTGCGAAACAACAGAAGTTCAGAAGTTCATTGTTCTTTGAATAAGCTTTGACTGGCTTCTGACCTGAGGTCTTTTTAATGTGCTTCAGTAGACCGGTGAATTAATCAAGATTGCATGTTCACACCACTTTTGACCTCTTAAATCAGCTTGTGGCGGCCCAGGAAGCTTTTATCTACTCCAGAGCTTCTGAAGATGAAGCCGTTGGCCGAGTTTTTGGGCCTTCGATCTCCTGAGTCACCTGCAGGCTTGCGTGTGGTGCCCCGTGCCAGTGGCTTGGAACTGGAGGTCACCCCTCCTGACGTGGACCCTTGGAACTGCAGTCGGGGCACGTGGGGCTTTTGTTCCTGTAGGTGTTGCCCACAAGCCAATTGGAATGCATTAAAACTTGTTTCTAATAGCTTCTTGTTACTACTAGTAAGGCACTTGTTACTAGAAGCGATGCACTTGTTCCTAGTAGCTGTGTATATATATATATATCGACAAATACGACAAGGCAGCTGATCTGTTCCACAAACTTTAGGCTCCGGGAGACACTTCTCGAGAGTGTGCTTGGACAACTTTCTGCAACGCGAGGAAACTTTCCCTTCTGCAAGATCAGAGCTGGGAGGCACTAACCTCGGCTATTTTTTTGGAATAACTCATGACCATTGTGCCGACCATGCTAGCAAAGGGGGATGTGACACTACCTCAGGCCCTGTGGACGGCTATTGGATTGAGATTCTCAACTTGGAGACCGGCAACAAGCATGTTGGCAAGATCTCAGTGCACTCTCCAGGTTGCCATCAAACGGCCTGAGAAACTGGATCCCTGCTCAGGAAAGAACCGTTAAAGACAGGCTGCAAAACCGCAATACTCAGAACTATACAAGTCTATGCACTGCCTTTCGGAGAGCCAGGGGGACTTATTGTCACATTTTGTCACCACGTTCTCGTCCAATGATCAAGTCTCTTTGACAAGACGCGGTGGCGCTTGTTTTGTTTGTGCACATTGCACAGCACTTCTTGCTTCCCTCGCCGATTAAGTGTTTGTTTTTGCAAGCTTCCACGCACCCGTGGACATGTTTGCACCGGTGGCACTCCAGTTAGGGGTCCTCCAGTTTAACCTGTGATCCTGTGCACTTTCTGTTGTCACTTTCCCCCAGCCATCTACAAGAGATGTGGATTTACAGCAGAATGAATTTGAAACCGTCAGTAGCCCGTATGGAGAGAGAGAGAGAGGGAGTAATTGAATAGCTAGTTGATATTACATAGTGATTTCTACTTTGGTAGGCTTGTGGAGTCATGTGCAGTCATGCCAAAGTGCTCAACGCCTACAAGGCATCGCTTGAAGCGAGAGGTCGGCGCCTCTGGGCGCCTGATGCAGACGGCACGTGTGGGACGCTTGGAGGCTGGGCGACACTGCTTCGCATGTGCTGCCTTCAACGTAGCTGGCTGCTCAAGCCCTGTCTCCGTCACTGTGGATCCAGCTGTTGCTTGGAAGCAGATGGTTGAGACGGTTGAGAAGCTAGTCACTAAGAGCCTTTCAGACTTTTTCAGCCACATGCAAACGTGTGCAGAAGCAGGTACGCTCATGCTCATGCACGAATGACAGAAGGACAAAACATGCAGCCATGCAGTGCACTTTTGCCTCATCAGTGTGTTCAAAAGTACCTTGTGCCGTGTGCGCACATTCAGCCCAAATTATTCTCGCCACCCATGCAGCCTCCAAAAGCCTGCAGTCATTGGCGGCTTTATATAAATATGTATATAATATCGTAATATTGTCTTTTATTTTATCCATACTCACACACACATATACCGTAAATAGGTATTGCAGTAAGATATAGCCCCCGACCCACTGACTTTTTGCTGTGCACAGACAGACTTCCGATTTGTCACTATCTCTTATGCCTGTCAACATTGGTTGCCTCGTGTTTCATCAGGTGGCTGGCCTGGCGGCACAGCAAATGCATCAAGTGCCCAGTGTCCAGAGGCCGCAAGCCCAAGTCGGACGGTACTTGCCTCCCTTTCAGGAAGCCGCGTGCCCCCATCAGGGCGGCCTGGCACAGCCTGTCCATCCTGCACCTCTTTTGCGACAGACCCAAGTGGAGCAGGTCGGGCAGACCAGATCCTCACCCCAGTCTTCTTATCCCCGTGGCTGGGGACCGGTCCAGACACCAAGCAACACTCCCCAGACACCCAGCGTTGTGCAAAACCATCCTCGTATTCAAGCTCAGCAGCCATGTCGTCCTTTATGTCCGAGCAACGCAGGAACGCAGGGCGCTTAAAACCCGATATCTCACAAAAACGTTGCTGCTTTCCACCCAACTGTTCTCCGCAGATCAACTCAACATCCTACTTTGTTTTGGATCCTTTTGTTCAAGGTCGTGCAGGTATGCTGACCCTGCTGCAAGCAGAACTGGCCCAAAGCAGCAAGAGACTGGTGCTACTTGGCTTGATGAAAATGATAGTGTAGGCTGGAGATTGCTACATATGCTTATTTTTGTTCACACACTCACCAGAGAGAGAGAGAGAGAGGGAGAGACAGAGAGCCTCAGCGGCTTGGTGCTCGATGCTGGATCAAAAATGCAACATCCATTCAATGTGGCTAGGCCCCAGTAACAGTTCAACAATAGTTTTTTAATATAAATGAAGTGTGTTCATGAAAACGAGCACTAGCGAATTGCTGGAAATGGCTCTTGGTTTTGGGACATGTTGGTCAATGAATTGCTGGGCTTGACCCAGATTGAAAGTTTTAGATCTCACCATGATCAGAATCATACCTCACTTCACCCATCCCCTGCCCCATACCCAGTGCCCTTCCGTAAGGTGTGTATGTGTGTGTGTGCCTTGCAAATGATATGAGATGGTGAACGCTTGTCCTGCCTGTCCACCACTGTCAAAGGTCATGGTGGGGTGATTAGCACAATTTTTGCGCGCGTGTGTCTCCGCTTTGCCCGCTCTGGCACCAGCCCGACCACTGGGCTTTGCGAAATCGAGCACCAGATTTGACCAATTCTAGCACCAGATTTGACCAATTCTAGCACCAGATTTGGCGAAATCGAGCACCAGATTTGACGAATTCTAGCACCAGATTTGACGAATTCTAGCACCAGATTTGACGAAATCGAGCACCACCAAGGACCACCACAAGAAACACCAGATTTGGCGAAATCGAGCACCAGATTTGACGAATTCTAGCACCAGATTGGACGAAATCGAGCACCACCAAGGACCACCACAAGAAGCACCAGACCAGATTTAACGAATTCGAGCACCAGATTGGACGAATTCGATCACCAGATTTGATGAATTCGAGGACCAGCCAGAAAGTGATTTTTGAGATTGATTTGGATTGTGTGTCTCCGCCTTGGGCAGAATAATTTCCAGAAAATCAGCACCAGCCAGACCACCGGGTTTTGCGAAATCGAGCACCAGATTTGAAGAATTCTAGCACCAGATTTGACGAAATCGAGCACCAGATTTGGCGAAATCGAGCACCAGATTTGACGAATTCTAGCACCAGATTTGACGAAATCGAGAACCAGAGCCACCAGCCCGGGGACCAGCCCCACATTTCAAAATGAAAGCAGAGCCACCAGCCCAGGCCGGCCAGGGACCAGCCCCACATTTCAAAATGAAAGCAGGGCCACCAGCCCAGGCCAGCCAGGGACCAGCCCCACATTTCAAAATGAAAGCAGTTGTGCTCACTGTTAGTGGCACCCAGCCACATTGAAAACATCCCACAAAGAATATCAATGCTGACAGTGATTCATGCATTTGGGGCCTTGATTGCATAGATGAGCGTTTTACCATGGGTGCAGGGTTGAGGTAAGATGGGAAAGTGGGTAGTGTTTCCATGCTCCTTCAAACCACCACTTGTTCAGAAACGTCAAAAATTGCCGGCAGGCAAAGAGTGCAGCTCATGGACCAGAACTGGAAGACGAGTCCGAAGAGCTGCTGTGTGTGGTTTGCCTAGCCGCGCCGACACTTGGGTGGATGGTTTGTATCAAATTATCAAAGAGATTCGGTGCCCCAGCACTGGTTCTCGTCGCCCAGGAAAACGCATGCGTTTGTCCCGTGTGGCCATCGCATCTGGGCAGTCCAAGTAAAAGATGTGATCAGCATGATGCAGTCACCCTGTCCCAACAAACTTCCCAACAAGTAAGATATTTGCCCAGCGCTTTGATGCCTACAGTGGTCAGCAGATGAATTGAAGCAACATGGGTGAAATATCTTGCCATCTCCTTTCCCACTCTTTCGTGCTTGCGCGACACAACCGAGGCTGTATTTGCGCTACATGTGCTAAAGAGGCTTTTCCAGAATCCAGACGGAGCTGCCCTGTTTGCCGTGCTGCGCCTTGGCCAGCAGACCACCCGGAGTTAGGTTCGTCGCCAGGGATTCGATCGGTACAGAATTGGTAACTTTCACGTCTGGAAGTCATTACCTCAAAGTGCAACATTCATTCTCACGGTCTTATTTTCTTGACTACAGCAGTCTCATGACCAAGTTCTTTGCTTTTCTTTCGTCATCGCCCCCCCGACAGTCAGTTGTTTGCACACATGCCACCTCACGCTGGATTCAGACCACCTGCCACTCATGCAAACTGGGATTTTCGGATGCTGCTAGTGGGCTAGTCAGAGAACATTTGTGTTGAGTGATCCTTCTTTAACCCAGCTTTTCGCTTGAGTGCAGACTGCAGCTCAGGAGGCTCAACACATCATTCAGATCTTCATCTGATGTGCACACCTCCGAAAACTGGAGCGGTGCCAATCTGTACAGGAGTTTTCGGGCGGGGGAGACAGGGACAGCCTTGCTCAGTTCTGGCAGAAACTGTTGCGACTGATGCTTGGGCCAGAACATGTCATTTCTGGAAGTTTCATGTCGCCATTGGCTGCCAGGCTCGCCAAAAGCACGTCAGAGGCCTCCAAGCCAAATCATTGTGAAGATGCGCTCCACTGTTCCATTGGGCCTTCCATTGGCAGCATATGGTCCTGACATGCAAGGCTGGCTTGGAAGGTGGTGACAGCCTTTGGTGTCCCAAGCTCAGAAAGTAGACCGTTTCCATGGCTTTTCCGTATTGTTTTCTTGCTATTGCAGACACATGGAGCCGCCTTTGGCGTGGTGTTCGTTGCTGCCTTTCCATACGCTTGCGGCATACCCTCGCTGATGATACCCCAGGCACGGAGAACAGCATCTCTGAGCCTTCAAGGGCGCAGGCCAGCGTCAGTGTGCGTCAGTCAGTATGTGTTAAGAGCAACCCGAGTTGCAAAACACTTAAACGCTCTGAAACCCTAAAACGTCCTAAAGCCATCAAAAAAACAGACACCCAGCTACTCGTACTTCGCACAAACAGTTGACACGAAGAGCAACATGTGGGCAGCGTGCTGACCCTACCCCTCTTTGGTCGCTTGCTGTGGTTGGTGCATGCACAGCTTCCTCTAGAGCCTCTAGAGAATGCCCAAAACGGAACCGGCTGACCACTGGCTGAACAAATTGTAGAAATCATGTTTGATCATTTCATGTTGTACGGTTCAAGACTGAACAGAGCTGATCGTTGAAAGATCTCCAGGTTGACGCACCCGTGGTCACAAGCCCCAGCCGCTCCAGCGGGTTGGTCCCTCGTCGAGCTGTGAGCCCCCATTGCGGAATCCTCAGACGCAGAGTAGAGTATTAGACCGTCGTTCTTACTTTTCTTTTTTCTTTGTTTCTAATAGCCATGGCCTCCAGCTAGTAGTGATGGCATACGGCTGTGCCCCGGTGTGCCCAGCTATGGCTCAAGTATAGGCCCTGGAAAATACGACATAATGCGACTACAACTTACGGGTTGCGGCGGCATTTTGTGAACCAGTGCCATTCTGGTCCTTTCCTTTAAGCCAACAACCGCTGCATTTGCACGCAGGTGTGCGACCTGCAATGGTTGTAGAGACCTTCAGGTGCAGAGATCCTGGCAGAGCTTCCGGAGAGATCTTCGCCGCGAGGCGCAGCCTGGTTGCTCTCGATTGAAAAACGTGGCCAGGAGGGCTGGAAATGGGTTCATTGCTTATTGCGCCAGTGGCCCGGGTATTTCTAGAAAGCACCCCAGCTCACGTCCGCAGCCAAAATCACTGCTTACTGACACCAAGAGCACACAGCCCCGCCCCAGCAATCCATCCCAGAGCCCCAAGTTGTACTCGCAGGTGCCGGGTTCAGTTTTGCATGGTTTGAAAGGCTCGCGAAGGACCATTCCAACATCATTCAACAGAGAGATGGGGTGGAGGATGTGAAGTCAGCCGGGCCGAGCAATTACTCACCGAAACTCAGTGTTACACGCATTGTTCGTTGATGCAGAGGGAGATCTCCGAGCTCGAGCAAATAAGTTATTTGAGATCCAGGGAAGTTGAACTGGCAGGCTGGCAGGCTTCACTTTCGCCAAACGATTCACTCAATCTACAGTATGCTACAGTCCAGAATTGCTTGATGCCTCAACATCGATTCACGCACCACAAAGGCCTTGGGTGCTTGAACGCTCGAAGGGCATCGCAGCGCTTTGATGCGTTCAGCCTCCGGGCCATTCTGGGCCGATGGTGGTGTGCACATTACTGTAAAAAAGGGGAAGCCTTCCACCCACTGAGTTCGGCCTTGTTCTTTTATCCTTTAGATCCTTTAGGGTGTCGCCAGTGGGGTGGCCCCCCTTGTGAGACACATTCCTTCCCATTCTCCTTACTGGCGTTCTGGCTGGGAAGCATTATTCGCTGCAGAACTTGGGCCAGGCTCAGTGACATTGCCGTTACGTTTTCATGCTTGGTCCTTAGCTTTGACGGCCCAAGCCATGGGATGTCAAAATGTGTCATGGACTTGATTCGGTCATTTTCGACGTGACTGAGTCTGAAGTTCTTTTCAGGCTCCAAAGTGCACAGATGGATGGGACCTCAGACGGATGGATGAGTCCATCGTGACAAGGCTTTGGATGCTTTGGACATGGCTTCAGTGACCCAGTTCCACGTTTTGCTGTTCACACAGTTCCACTGAGGACCATCAGTTGAGGAGCCCGAGCAGTCTGGTGAGAACCGCCGTGCCCAAGGCGAACAGTCATGAAAGGTATAAAGTGTGGGCATGCCGGTGGAAGAGTTGCAAACGCCCGCTCTGAGTCTATTAATGGAGTGAATACCAGAGTTAATTGTTCTCAACTCTGGTGTTAATTCTTTTGTCCTGGGGTGCACATCAGCATGTGCCTCAGTAGAATTAACTCCCAAGTTAATTCTTTTTGCAACCCCTGCTTCTGGAAGAAGCAACTCCAGAGTTAATTCTTCATTGTTTCTTTCTGTATCGGACCCCTTCAGGACCCCTTGAAAAAGAATTAAATCCAGCGAATCCAGCGTGAATTCTTTGTTTGATGTGCTTGTGCTTGTCAGAACACAATACAGCTAGAAATGAAAAAGAACATGAAAGAAAATAAAGAGATAGATAGAGAAGGAAGCAAGGAGACACAGTGAAAAAGAATTAACTCATGAGTATATAAATTCCCTTTTTTGGTTGCTAGTTTGTCCCACCCCACCTTCTTATCTTCCTAACCCCCTGTCACCTGCCTAGAATTCACACAGCTAAAGATGAAAACGAAAACACAAGAAAGGAAAGAGCTAGACAAAGAGAAGGAAGCAAGGAGACACAGTGAAAAATAATTAACTCAAGAGTTAATTCCTTTTTGGTGGCTTTAGAACTCAATACAGCTAAAAATTAAAAAGAAACCAATAGAAAAGAACGAGATAGACACAAAGAAGGACACAAGGAGACGCCGTAAACATAGTTAACTCCAGAGTTGATTCTCTATGTGCACAAGTGGCAAAGAGTTAGAGGTTGAACAGATGTAAACGCTAAAGCGTTAACGCTGGAGTTAATACTTTTTAACTCTTGTATTCAGCCCCTTCCTCTGAGTCTATGACATACTACTACTACTGCTACTACTACCACTCCTACTACTACTACTACTACTACTTCTACTACTACTACTACTGCTGCTACTACTACTTCTACTACTACTACTACTACTACTACTACTACTACTACTACTACTACTACTACTACAAATCTATACAATATTGCATCGATTTCCATCACAGTCCATTTATTAATATATCATTATATAATTTATATAAGTGCGAACCGTGAACCGTGTTGTCGAGCCAAATGGGTGGAAAGGCAACGGCAGCGTGATGAGTAGAGGGTTCTCAGCAATTCCCGGCACCTGTTTGCAAGGATTCATAGTGACGCTGGATGCTTCTGTCAGCTCCTGAGTGATGTGCCAAAGTTGTGCCAAACTGTCGTCCTACTCTAGGAGCTATACTAGCACTGTGACATGAAGGAATATCTATATAGTGCGGGAGTGCTGTCGTCACACGTCACTGCCCTTCCCAGCCATCCAGCCCACCAGGTTGGCGGGCTTGGCATTGAGTCCTCCAACCTTAGCGTGGAAGCCGAGTTGACCCCTCCGTCTTGAGGCAGACCTGACTTGAGACAAAACGGGAGGTTATAGAAAGGCTCAGGGGGGAGTGCCGCGTGGAGACTTTAAGATTGATGTCAGCGATTGCCATGGCGGCAGTCGATGTCAGCTGCACATGTACTGAGGACATCCCTTCTTTCGGGGAAGCTCTTTACGGCGACCCTTTACATCTTTCGTCGGGCGCTTCATTTTGATGTGGAAGGTGCTCAGAGATGTAAGTTTATTTATGGTTGCTTATTTATTATTATATATATATATATCATTTTTTATATAAGGATCGTTGAGGCTCGGCTCAAGGTTCAAAGGAAGAGTTTGCTGCTTCAGACACGCTTCAACACATTCAACTTGAACCCGGAGCAGTGTCCCAACATGCTCAAACTTGATACATGCAAGACTTTAGTCACTCTCGTTTGGGCCTCTTGTCCTGCTAATGCTTGCTGATGCAGCTTTGTTGATAATTATCATTGCCTCCGCAGCAACCACCAAACTCGCTTGAAGAATGGTGAGCATCTTCTGTTTCGGGTCTGCCGCGGTCTGCCGGGTGGGGCGATTTGCTTGCAGCTTTGCTCGTGAGGTTCCAACAGATGATTGGAGTGAGAGTCCCAGTTTGCCATAGCAGAAAAACCGGGGCTGGGCTGTGCATCTTTGAACACTCAGGTCCACCTGAAACAGTGCAAAGCTGAGCTTAGTGTAGACTTGCGCTTTTTGTTTGGCAGTTTTCCGATCAAACACCATTCACATTCTGGGCACAGAGTGCAACAATGGCGTAGCCGAACGGCTGAACCTCGCTCATCTGAAGAGGGGAAGTTTGACTTAGCATTGGCAGGGAGGTCGGCGCTTTCAGACTTGGGCAAACGAGGCAAAAGCTGCTCCTGAAATAGCTGCTCCTCGAGGTCATCGAAGTGCTTCCACATTGTTCCTTGTACATTTTTCCCTTGCTCTCCTTCAGCCCAGGGGTACAAGCACCAGGTATGCCAACCGGTGTTGAAGCGACATGAAATCAAGCCACAAGTCTGACAACTTTCTGGTTCTATCAGAAAAAGAGCTGGAGAAGAGCTTTCCTCCAACCCATGCGGAGTGGACGTGGATGGGGGCCCAGGGCATCCTGCTTTGCCTGGCCGGGCCTTGCGCAGATGCTTCAGCAGTGCCAGCTCACCCAGCGAGTAGACAGGGCGACCAGGCCCAGAACTGGACCCACCTTGAACCCAACGAACATCCAACCTAGGCTTCAGTGAGATCTGGGTGTCAAGGCGTGGCGTTTGGGAGAGTTGCAAGTAGGGCCAGGAGCTGAATTACTTGGAGCTGAATTAGCTTACTGCGATTGGTTGGAGCGTCGCACCTCAAATCGTATGTGTCTTTGGTGACGTTGATTGACACTCGTGACAACACACGTGTCGCAGATTCACCTACAGCGCACGGCTGGGAGCCCAGCCCAACAGTTTTTGTGACATGCTGAGGTTGCGATGTTTTTACTCTGTCGTTTGTAGTGGAACCATTCCTTTGGACCAGCGCTGGGGGGGTGCACGACAATCTTACAGAACAGGGTAAGAAGCGACAACTATATGTAAGGAAGCCTGAGGAAGAATCACATGACAAAGGTGGCGCAGGTGGACTGACAATTGGCCTCACAAGGGACGACGAGTCATGCAAGCACCAGAGACAACGCGCTCACAATGGTGCTCAGTGTTTGTGGAGCAGTCCCAAGACACAATAACATAATCAGCCCTGATAGTGTGGAAGATGCCATTGAAGTGCGCTGGGACTAAGGATCAAGGCCATCACTGGCTTTCTCCTCAGTTTTCAGCAGGGCTAATGATTGAACACCTGCTCCGATCGACCCTGACCACGGATGTTGGCTGAAGAAACGCGGCTCTTCTTCAGCAACCAAGCTAAACGATCTTCTGCAGGCGTGCTGTTTGAAAGCTAGATCACTTTGATAAGTTGGGACCTTTGGTCTCAAGAACTGTATACTGAGGCAGTGAGCAGAAGGTTTGAAACGAAAAAGCAGTCCGGAGCCTTGTGCTTGGCGCTGTGCTCAGGCGGGAAACTCACCCAGAGCAAGCCCAAGACGTCCAAGAGGCACACAAGTTGCTGCGAGGGCGAGTTTCGGGAACTACCAAAGTGGACTCGCAAATGGCATCAAATGGAAGCTATTAGGAACAAGGACGCTATTAGGGGCTCCTGGCATTGCTACTAGGAGCAAGGACGCTACTAGGGGTCCTGGCCGTACTACTAGGAACAAGAAGCTATTAGGAACAATTTTCCCCGCGAAGTAAGACTTCAGTGTTGGGAGTCGGCACTCTTTCTTCCCATTCTCCTGCTACAACGGAATGGCCGTCGTGCGGGCCATTGCACAGCACAAAGTGGATTGGACTTCGGACAGGGGCGCCAACATGGCCTTCTTGGCAGGCTTCCAAAGCTGGGGGGCCCAGATACCAGAGATAGGCCTGTGGCTTGGTGCTTCTCAACCTCTTGGGCCTTTAGCCTTTGAGGGTGCCAAGATAAGAGATGAAGCTTTGACATAGTAACATATAGCAACTTGCCTTGATGGGTGCTATCAAACATGTTGCAGCATACACAATATATTCAATAGAGTAGCAGCAAACAGGGATGCAGCAAAACATTCAAGCTATTGCTCAATGGTTGACAGTGCTACTCCCAAAGCAGGGAGCCGTTGCCGCATGAATCGGCACCCTTGCTACAGCCTGGCAGCCCTGGCACGTGCGTTTGGCATGACCAATGCTTACGAATACTTTGTTATTCTATATAGCTTTTTTGTTACTACTAGTAAGGCACTTGTTACTACTAGCGTGGCACCTGTTACTACTAGCTTCCTATTTTTGAGGGTCGCCATGGAGGCACCCGAAATTGGCCCAGCCGTCTCTGGTGCACTCTGGCGAGGTGAGGTCCGCCGAGCGGTCGCAGCCCAAGCACAGCCCAAGAGGTGAGGTCACAGTGGCGAAGATCCCGCGGATCTAGTAGCTTCTTGCTCCTAGCAGTAAGGCCAGGAGCTACTAGTAGCGTCCTTGCTCCTAGAAGCGATGCCCTTTGTTACTAGTAGCGATGCCCTTGCTCCTAGTAGCTTCTTGCTCCTAGTAGCTATTTGCTAGTAATGCCCTTGTTACTAGTAGCAATGCCCTTTGCTACTAGTAGCGTCCCTTGTTACTGGTGTGTTTCTTTGATGTTACCATTTGTTAAACATTAGTGCCACACTGTCGCACCCACTTTCTTCTTGTCCCATATTGCTCACAGCCTCGAAAGCGAAAGATAATGCTGATAGATAATGTTGATAGAAACTGCACGGTAGTACGTCCCCGTGAGAAGTGCTCAAGCCATCAGCTGTGCATTGGATTGATTGACATTGTGTTCAGCAACCCCGTGGCTTTTCTTCAGAAGGGCAGCTGTAGCAATTTGCGGATGCGTGAATAATAAATAGGTTGATTGTTTTCCTTGATGCAGTACTTCTGGCTCAACACAGTAAGTTCCTGTGGATTGGGAGAGTCCAGCAGCAGAGTGGCCATGCCAGAAGAAGAGAGCCTTGTTTTATGAAAAACCATCCAAGTTTTCCATTGTTGCTTGCCAGGGAAGTTTTGGCAGGCATTTGTCCTGTCATCCTCAGTGAGAAACAGTCAAAACGGAAGGGGTCGACGGAGACAAAAGCTAAGGAAGCAGCAGACAAAGGAGACCACTGAAGAGAAGCCAAAAGAATCTGGTGGTTTGCTGGACGAGGAGGCCTGTTCTAAAGATTGCAAGGTGTTGCATGCGGCCTTGTTACTTGGATGGCGCAAATTGGGTGTGTGAAGACTATTGTTGACTATTCGCTTACAGGTCCACTTAGTACTGACATTTGAGGATTTTAACTGATGATTCCACCGAATAGAGTTGCGTGTTTGGTGGGGCGCGTCAACTGATTGTGGGAAGTAATAGAAACAACGGTTGAATTTTGCCAGGATGAGTTTGAGGAATTCGAGGAGCCAGATTGGGCCCTAACCTTAGCAACAACACTGTGATAGTTCACGATCGTGCTTGCATCGAGATATGCTTAGTTGGTTCGTTCAATGTCGCCCACTTGAGCGTCCCGATGATCCTATGGCTTGTCAGCGTTCGGGGGCTTTTCAACAGATGGTATCAACTTGAAGTGAGTGAAGAGAGTGTGTCCAAGTGTAGCTGTAGCTTTGACAGCCTGAGTGATGGACAAGTATAGTATAGTAGTACAGTATATCAGTACATTTGTGACTGAGGAGACGCCAGCACCAGGCACATCAGAGGCAAAGCAGTGGGAGGAAGACTGGGATGATGCCGGTTGGGATGATGAAGATCAGGACTGCAAAGGTTAGATTTTGAAGGAGTACAGTCTCCAAGAATCACACGGCAGCATGCCATCGTGCATATACATATAATATATATATATTAATATTCCCGATAGATATACCTAGATTTAGCTCGTCCTAGACCCTCCTCCGCCGCAGGACGACTCTTTTCAGAAGCGCTTAAAAGAAGAGCTGGACAAGATGGATGTGAAGAAATGAATGGGGATTGTCCTGTCTCAGGGCCCAGGGAGTTCAACACCGTGACAGCCGAGCCAACGTCATATTAACCTTGATTTCAGCGGGCGCCTGGGACATCGCATGCGGTTTTGGAGATGTGGGCTGCACAGCTTAGCAGAATGAGATTGCGATGCATCAAACATGTATGAAATCATCTAAAATCTACAAGCATATCAGACATATCATGTCCCTTTCCGATGATCGAGCAGCCAATTTGCTGCCGAGCGAAAGCATAGGCCCAAACAGTGGGCTCGCGTACCATCAAAGCTATAGAATTCTGTTCGACATTCACCCGCTAGAAGAAAGTGAGCTTGATAAGAGGAATGGGAGGATGGGATCTTGTGGTTGCCGCATGTTGCTGCCAAGTGTTCCTGTCACAGCAGTTTATATACTGTAGTTTGTGTTCAGTCCTGCCCCTCGTCCCATAAAAAGCAGATGTTTGATGTTCGAAGTCTATGCACACGGAACCGATGGAACCAAAGCCGTCAAGCTCCTGAACCTTGAGGCATCACCTCTAAGACCTCCATGGAATCAAACAGCTGGCTGCTGCCACGGAGCTACAGGGAAAGGTCAGCAGAGGTTCACTAGGCTGTAAGCTTTTTGGATCTCATGATAGGACCCTCAACGAGGAAACGAGGACAAGCCAAAGCTGGAAAGTGACGTGTATCTACCGGCTCTCTTGTGTGATGAGCATCAAGACAATCACAATTCCAGCTCAATCTATCTCAACATTATGTATTGAACTGTTGCGGCCCAGTAACTAGCAACAATCACTATTTAGTTGAATGTGTAACAATCTGCGCAACTTCGACGTTGGTCCATGCTACTGAGGTCATGCCGCTTGCAGCGGCCAGAGGCACCAACGAATGACAAGATCCCCTGGGACGAGTCAAACGAACTGGGGCTCAAGCTGCGATACAGATGATACAGCCACTCAGTTTCTACCTGCTTAATTATCCAGGGCTGGGATTTCTTTTCAGGGGATCATGTTTTGAGCAGCCTTGGCCATAGTCGTAGATAAACTCAAGCAGGCTGCTTCGAAGACCCGACCAAAGACGGCGAATGCCCCGTTGCCTCGTCCCGATGCCTCGTCACAGTCTGCACCTTGCATCAGCGCGCTGGTGAATGGGTCCGGCCCTCAGCACGCTGGAACTGCATGAGGCTTGTCGAAGCCACTCAGTAATGCCAGACTCCTTGGTGCTTAGGCCACAAGCTCGACACAAGCCAACAGGCCCATGAGTTGTTAGGCTTTCAGTCAATGTGCTTTGGGCGAATCTATTGGCCATCGCCTTGCGAGTGGATCAAAGTTGCCTAGTCCGGCAGATTGGCAAGAAGATTGTCTTGAGTGGATCCTTCTCAGTGGAACGTGTTTTTTCTTTTAAGCATTCTACTACATCAACAGTTTGCATTTTTGCACCGGCCTGTTTTGAATATAGATGTGACAAATTGTGACAAGCTGAATGCGAAATTGCTGCACTATTGAAGCAATCGTGGTCAAAGGTATCGATATATGATAGATAGTCCGAAAAGCGTACAGACCTTTCATTGCCAGCTTCAAGCATCGAAGCTGAAACAACACAGCCATGTTTGCACGAATGGGTGCGTGGTGGTCACGGGAACTTCGGTCGGTTTCTCAGACGGTGGGAGCTTTCGGATGGGCAAAGGAGCGCGCTTGTTCATATGTGCAAGATCATTGAGTAGGTCTGATTTGGCTTCCACCTGGTGGACAGGGCTCGAGGGCTGGGTAGATAATGGCCACTCTTACTTACATCACGTGGTCTTGTTGCGGGCCGAGGCTTGGCTCAAGCTTTAGAGCCGCAATGACATCCCCTGACACACAGGGTGGCCTAGTTTGCTTTTCGCACATGTGGCCGTGGGGAGGCTTCAATGACAGGCCAGAGCGGCCCGAGAGATCGCTGTGGTCTATCACCAATTGTTACTGTGGCACCGATGTCTTTTCGCCGCCGCCCTCCCCAAAGCGAGGGCGGACTCTTGGACAAGGTGCTGCGCAGACTCTCCTGGCCAAAGGGCGGGAAGCTAGCGGTGTTTTGTCAAAGGCTACTGTGGAAGTCGTGCACGTAGTCACTGCGGATGAAACCTCCACGGAGGAGCAGTTCATGTCCAGTGCCTCTTTGCCAGAGCCAAACTTAAGCACCAAGCGAAGCCCTGGCATTGACGACAACACCGGAAACCGCAGTGTCAAGAACAGTGTCCGATGGGAAGTCGAGGTCACCGGCTCCCCAAAGTCACAGAAGTCGCAGAAGTCATTGGAGAAAGCAGATCGAAGTCAAAAGAAGCGAAAGACCCTTCACACCTGGCCACTGGGCATTTCTTGATTTGTACCGCAAAAAACACATAGCACCCCAAAGAACTTAAGAAAATTGGTCATATCAATCCCTCCTGACTGAGACAATGATTGCTGGGGATACATGTCCGAAAAAAAGTAAAAATACCTTGACATTACCTTGTGACATGTTCACGCGTGTTTTTTTGGACCTGGCAGACCTCTGGACCAGGCTTGACTTAGTTCATTTGAAATCCGAAGATGCACGAGCTTTCAAAGGAGGTTTCGAACGTTAGACGCCGAGGCTTAGCGCCATGCTTGATGTCTCCGAGGGCGGCTTTGATACTCTCGGAGTGCCTGAGGGTGGCGGTTCTCCGTCATCGGCCGCCTATGCGCGCTCACGCTCCCGGAATTTGCACCCGCCATCGATTTCAGGATCAATCCGTTGTTTGCCTTTTGTTTATGTTAAAAAGTTTTGGAGCATGCTTTCAAACATGCAGAGTGGCAGGGGTAGGATGAGCTCACTCACCAGTTGCACGTTCACCGTTCCTTTTTTTTGATTTTTTTCGATATTAACCTGCCATACCTGGGATGTAGTTTTAAGTGGTCCCACCTTTATTGCATTATTGCCACTGCACATCCAACTCTAAGTTCCCTCCAACTACGGGCCTGTTTTGCGTCAGCATGACAAATTCATCGAAGATAGTGATGGCATCTTCAAACTCCTCAAGCATGGCTTTTGAGAGGACGCTACTAGGGGCTCCTGGCCATACTACTATAGTAACAAGAACGCTACTAGGGGCTCCTGGCATCGCTACTAGGAGCGATCGGACGCTACTAGGTGTCACCTGAGAGGACTAAGCCCTTCTTCCAAGTCTCCTCGAAGTCGTGGATGGCGAAGCCCTAGCTCTGCTCCATCAAGTCCAGCAAACAGATCGATTCCAACGCCCACAGGAGTGAACACGAACGCTGAGCGGCCGGCACGTCAGCCTCTTAAAAAACACTGACACATCTCAGAAAGGCTGAACATCAACTTCCATAACTTCCGCGGGCGTGCTACTAGGAGCAAGGACCCTACTAAGGGCTCCTGGCCTTAACTTACTACTAGGAACAAGAACTCTACTAGGGGCTCCTGGCATCGCTACTAGGAGCAAGGATGCTACTAGGGGCTCTGTTGGCTCAATGAATCGGCATATCCATCTTTCCCGCCACGTGCCGTCACCGGGCAGGAGACTCTGGTCAACCAAGTATCTTGTGGCTTCTTCGGGACCACTTCGTGAACAACGTGGATGCGGATGGTTCTGGGCATCTTTCAAGAGAAGATCTATTTGATCATATCAAGGAGAGTGAGAAGACTTCTCAATGGTGACAGTTTCCCCCCAAAAAAAGCAATAAATATCCAGACAGGTTTGCTTACATTCAGCCTGCGACTAGATGCTTTGAATCTGCTTGCTCTCAGATGCTCTATGGTGCTCTTTGTTGCAGTCACTGCAGGAAAACTTGGAGCAGGACGAAGGGCCTCTCAGCTCTGAAGATGTCGAACTGCTCAGAGAGGCGCGATCGAACGCAAGTGTTCACCAAGCATTTCGATGGACGGGTTCACCCGCTTAGGCTCTATTTGTAGAGTTAGTTGCACCAAAAATCTTCGAAACTACTCGCATGCGAGAGATTTTCCCCAAAGATCATACAAGCCATCAACTGGACGTCCTTAACATTAACAGCCATTGACATGACCCTAGTTACTTGTTACTCGAACATGTTAATTGCTTTTTGTGGAGACCATCCATGGGTAACATTCTGCGGAGGTGTTCCACGGAATGGAGCGCACCAAATGCGGAAAAAACCATATAAAACCAAGGTGGGTAGCTTAAAGATTATTGCAGGGGTCATGCCATCTAATGGAATATTTATTCGAATAATTTTGATGGAACCATATTTAAGCAAGGTAGTGGGTTAAGGCTCATTTTGCCAGATGCTCAGGCATGAGACGGATACAAAACGCAATAGATTCCACATGCAAGTTCTGAAGCTTTCTGAAACTGATTGTTGGGGGTGGAAGAACCAGGGCTGCTCGCTGAAACATGGGTTGAAAGCTGTATCATATCAAGATGAATGACATACTGGAATAAGCTTCAGCATCTATGGAAGGTGGTCAGGAAATTATAGTTATTCCAGGGGCCTGTGAGAGTGGGTCCCCTTAATCAAGTCACCCGGTGAGACCCTTCAGGTGGAGCGCTGCCGGTTCAGCGAAATGGATTTGGGCTTGGGAGGTGAAAACCTCGGCATGGCAGAATGGCTCCATTTTATGCTGCTTCGGGCCACTCGGATGAGTGTGGAGATATGAGTTGAATTGGCCGAAAGGGGCGGGCGTGGTTTCGTTTTGTTGAGTTGCTAGGAGTGGATCTAGGCCTCTAGGCCTGGTGAGGAACGTGAAGCACTATTTAAATCTTGATACGGGCACAATGCCCCATGAAGAGGTGAGTCGAGGAAAGGCTTGAGTAAAGAAGAACCACGATCCAGCACATGCATGTTTGACCTCCAGAAATCTCCAGAACCGGCAAATGTCATCATGTGTTTGGTGGCTGAGCTCAGCGGCCTGTGATAGGACAAAAGATGAACATCTAAGACTTTAAGAACACAATATGAAACTATGTGGATAAGCTGGCCCAGAAGGCGAACTAGACATGGCCAGTTAGCTGATTCAGATTGATACAGCACCGAAATATCAGCTTGATACACTTGATTTGGAAGCTGATTGGGCATTTGCACAGAAGAGTGGTGCAATCAGTTGCCCCAGTGCTTGCTCCTCGCATCATGTTGCGACAAATCCCGGCGCCAGAAATGTGAAAGGAGGAGAATCAGCACTCACCGGGTGCAGGTAGGAGAGACAGGAGAGAAAGACCGGAGAGAGAGGAGAAACAGAATAGACAGGTTTGAACATTCTGGCAGCTGCACTGACTGCAACTTTCCTGCCATTTGATTGCAGTCTGACATGCTCAGCTTCTAATATAACTAACAGCCCGTAATAGATCACAACACTGGAAAAGCAACATCAAATGATGAAGCTTCGGTTCTTTTGGTGTTCTTCACAATCTGAGGTCTCTGCTCCCAGCCATGTGGCCGCCAAGCACCTCAACCGACATTTGCGAAAAGCTCTGGAGGAGTTGCCGACGCGTGGCCACTTCGGTGGATGTCACGTCGCTTCACTGACTCAGGATTTGTTGATAAAGGCACATGTTTGAACAACACATGTCTGAAACCTTGGCTCATGCAAGCGTTTGTCCATTGCAACAAGAAGGATCGCTCGAGCTTCCTTTCATCGCTGTCCTGCTCTTTTCCTTGAGCAAGTTATCAATGAGTTCAAACAGTCTGGGCACTGTTTGAGAGTTACGTACCTTGCTCCACAAGCTGCGAGAAGAGCGAAGTTCTGACTCAAAGCTTCCAGGAGGATTTAGAGCTGCTTGGAAGACTTCACGCAGCTTTCGAGTACGCAGATTCACAAGGCGGGGTGGATGACGAGTTTAGAGTTCGCTAAGCACAAAAGCATACTGCACATTGCACATTTGTCCCGATGGCTGTGAGATATTGGAAGGTTGCTTTTCTGACGACTTCTCGGCAGGTGACGGCCTTCTTCGTCAAGAGAGGTGGCCTGAGGCCTTTGAGGTGGTTGGCCTAAGTAAGCCACCCGAGGAGATTCTGGAGGACAGGGAGGAAGATGGATCTCCATGGGTAGCTTTCTCAGACTCCTGAACAGTTCCGACGCGTTTGTGATGTTCGTTTGTTCCATGTATATTCCTGACTATTTCACTCCTTCTCGGTGCATGTCCATTTGCACAGGTTTCTTGCAAAGTGCTTTAGTTTGATACTTTTGACATGCGACACCCGCTTGAGGCTCTGAGCTACTACGAGTTTGTGGCTCATGCCTTGGGTTTGAAGGCGGCGGTGGT